CCCCAAAACCCCAAAACCCCAAAACCCCGGTCTGAAAGGATTTAGAGAATACAGATGAATAGGAAAAGAATTTAAATAAAAGTTAATAGATTATAGATATCTATTAGCATCATCATTACTTGAGTTGCTCATCAGATTTGTTGGATGAATCATCAATGATGACCTCTTCAGCTGCTACAGTGTTTGAATGAGGACCACTTGATTCTGGTTATTAACCATCTTTATTTTGAGAAGCAATCTCTGCTGCTTCTTTTTCCTCTGTTGTTCTATCCCTTAACTCCTATAGATATTCTAACAGTGATTCCTTTAATGGGTAGGGTCTTTGACCTAGAATATCAACGATATCTGGCAAAGCTAATGTCTCTTTCGCTAGCAATTGGTCACCAAGCCTAAGAATAAGATTAATTTGGATTAAATTACTTTTAAATGAGATCTTTTTTCTCTGTTAGCAGACCCTTACATCTTATATAAGCTCTATCGATAATTGCCTTGACCTCCTGGTCTATAAGTCTATTTGTCTTATCACTGAACATCTTTTAATAGCCTTCTTCAGTGTCATAGTTAAGTGGTCCCAAATTTGCACTCATACCGTACTAAGCAACCATGCCCTAAGCGATTTGGGTGATCTTTTTAATGTCATCTGAAGCACCAGTGGTTAATCGGTTAAAGAATATCTCTTCAGATACTCTGCCACCTAGGGCCATTACAATCATGTCTTCAAGTTGTTATTTGTTGTAAAGATTTAACTCGTCTGGAAGATATTAGGCAAATCCAAGAGATCCTTTTGCTCTTGGCACGATAGTCAATTTCAGTAGAGGACTTGAGTGTTCCAAGAACCATCCTGCTACTGCATGGCCAGCTTCATGGAAAGCTACTGTTTTTCTTTCAAATTCGCTTAATGGTAATTTCTTCTCGATTCCTGCAATGACTCTTTCGGTTGCTTCTTCAAATTCCTTTATTGAGACACTTTCAAGATTCTTTCTAGCGCTAATAATAGCTCCCTCGTTGCAAATATTTTTAATATCAGCTCCACTGAATCCTGGAGTTAGAGCAGCTAGCTTTCTAGCATAATCTTCTTTCATTAATTTATCATTTAGTGTGATCTTTTTAAGATGTACATTAAAGATTTATTCTCTTTCCTTAATGGAAGGTAGGATAATTTCAATTGTTCTATCAAATCTACCAGGTCTCAATAGAGCACTATCAAGAATGTCTTTTCTGTTTGTGGCAGCTAGAACTATCACTGATGTATCAGTTGAGAAACCATCCATTTCAACAAGCAGCTGGTTGAGGGTATTATCTCTTTCATCATTACCTCCTCCAAATTTGCCATGTCTTTTTTTACCTACAGCATCGATTTCATCTATGAATATAATGGCTGGAGCCTTCTGCCTGGCCTTTTTAAAGAGATCTCTTACTCTTGAAGCTCCAACTCCGACAAACATCTCAACGAAATCTGAACCAGAGATTGAAAAGAATGGTACTTTAGCTTCACCAGCAACTGCTTTAGCTAGCATTGTTTTACCGCAACCTGGTGGACCAACAAGAAGAGCTCCTCGAGGAACTCTAGCTCCTAGTTTTTGATATTTCTTGGGATCTTTTAAGAAATCCACGAATTCCATAATCTCTATTTTGGCATTCTCATTTCCAGCTACATTAGCGAATTTAACCTTAATCTTTTTCTCTTCTCCATATACAGTAGCATTTGATTTACCATAATTGAACATGTCGCCCATTCCTCCTTAGTTCTAGAACCATCCTTTACCTTGCTATCCTGGGGCACCTGGTTTTCCACCTTTTCCAGATTAGGCTCCTCCATTTCTATTTCTGTAAATTTGATAGAAAAATAGAACAAATAGAGAACCGACCAACAAATTCATCATTAGATTGCTCATCTGCTCCTCACCTTGATTATTATACTTAACAGGTACAAATTCACTTGGTTGTCTGCCCATCTCCCTTTGGACTAAATCTAGCTTAGATAAAAAGCTCTCATAAGCTCCTAAAGTCATATAGAATTTCTCACCATTCATTGTGGTGATCTCAGCTCTATAATTAAAGACCTCACTACGCTTATCTTTGGTTATTGTGATCTCTTTGACGTTATTCTTTAACAGATATTCATTTAGGAAGTCCTTGAATACAATCTCTTGCATAGGCTTTCTGTATGTCAATAAGTAGTATGCTGTAAAGCCTGCAAGTAGCAATGCTAAAAATCCTTCAGGCTTTGGGTTGTTATCCTGATCAAAAAGGAATTTCTTCCACTCCTCTCTTCCATCAGATTTGGAATCTTTTCCCTCATTGCTGGATCCTTTCTTATCATCGTGTTCTTCCTCCTCTTCAATCTTCTCATCTTCTTCTTTCTATGAAGCCTTTTCCTTTTTACCTTCTGCTGACTTTTATTCATCTATAATGATTGAACTTAATTTATTGGTTAGGAAAAATGTATATTTTTATCTAGAATATTAGAATTCATCATACCTTGTGTCTTTGGAGCCTCATCTCTCTTTTTAAAGAATTTCTCAAAGCCTTTAGGTGGCTTTTTCTCATTGTTTAAGATCCATGGCACTAGCCTTTAGAATAAAGGAAGCTTTTCTTCCTATTATGTCATCTTTTATTCTGAAGATTCATTTAATTATCCTGCATTAGATGTTCTTATACCAAACTAGCTCTGATTATAGAATGGAGTGAATTATCCATTATGACTTGCTAGTAATCTCTGATTTTATTGCTATCTTGCTACAGTGAAGATATTAGCTGACTGCGAGTTTTTTAGAAGCTGACTCTTAAGAGTCTGAGTCAATGTCTTTTTGAATTTTGTGGTAAACATAATAATTATTATTGCAAATTAATAATTAATCAGCAAATTATAATTAAAAGTTAATAATGCAGCGTATTAGCTCTACCAGTCCTCATAAAATTTAACCTCACTAAAAAGACACCTTAAATCACAAATAGAAACTTCTCGCTAAGAGGGCTGCTGCTAAGGTAGTAAGAAGGAAAATAAATGAGAGTCAGTAAATGTCTAAGAGTAATATAAACACCACTAATTTAAACCAAACATAAACGTAAACAGATTAGAGTTCAAAAATTATTTCATCTCCTCATCTCAGTAACAACTAGGTGGGCTCGAATGCTTTTCATACTGGATCACTGATTGAATAATAAAAAAAATATTCCCAGACATTGGTGCCCAATACCAATATAGGTCCTTCTTCCTCAATAACATTGTAAAATTCCGCATAGAGATCAAGCCATTAATAGCACCATAGCAATACGAATAATAATGGGGGAGTTTTAACTTTTAAATCTAACAATACTCATCATCAACATATTGATACTTAAGAAACTCAAAATAGCAGGAAGACCAATACCACTAAGATCTAGACCTTTGACACTTAGTTTGAGGAGGAAAAGCTGATATAACCTGCAAAGAACACAAATCTTCCATAAAAGCCGCTCTATAGTTATGAAAGTAGCAATAGAGATTCTAAATTTTCAACTGATTTGCCTATTGTCAGTCAAAGCAGGCATAAACCAACTCAGAGTTATGTCCCCCCAGTAGCTATGAGCTCGGGCAGTTCAACCTCCAAACTCACAGAGGGAGAGAAGATGCTGAGTAAGAGACATCAAATGAGGTTGACCTCTGGGGATTCGAAGCGAGAGAGCCACCACAACTTAACTAGAAGCTTAATTGACGAGGGAAGTGAAGATTTTACCAATATAGAAGAAAGATTACAAGAAGATACTAAAATTTCTTGCAGAAATGCTGTTGCTAGTTCTCTAAACAATGTCTCCCAAAGTAAGGAATATTATTAAACTAAGCATTTATAGTTCTTAAACAAGCCAAACGATAAAGCAATAACTTTAAAAACAGGAGAGGCACAACATAATCAAATATGAGCAGACCCAGCAATTAACCTAGTAAAGAAGATACCTTTGAGACAAGTTCCTTCTTTGATGAGGGAGTAAGTCAAAAAATAGTATAACAGTAGACAGGCTAAAATAATTAAGGTAGCATCATTTCTCCTCATAAATGCAATCAAGTAGAGGGCTATAATCTGCCAACTATCTTCAACACTTTGATGTTCGGAATAGATTAATCTAAAGTAAGCGACAATGTTCGTGAATCCTTTTCTAATATGTCTTCAAAAGGCAGACCTTCATCTTAACTTAAACAACATAATAATACTAATAACGGAAGCCAAGTAGGGAATGGTACTCAAGCATTCTAAAAGAAGATGAGTACTAAGTTTGCTTAGCATCAAATCGAGCAAAGGCAATCATCAAACAGACAGAGCATCGAGCAATAGCAAAACTAGCAGAAAAATGATTAGTAAAGGTAAACGAACTAGAATGGAAAGAACCAAAATAATGCTGCTAGCTCAGGAGGAGGATTAGCTTCATTAGTAACTAAAGTCGATAAATCCCCTATTATAGTCTTTGACTAAAGCCAAAACAATCACCAACAGCAACAATAAAATCTGTCACAGCAATATAAACTTAATCTTAATCAGTAGTAGCAATAGTAACAGCAGCAATAATAATAGTAACAACTATAAAAGTAACAGAATAGTTAATTAACTTTGCCAAGAGGCTAATAGCATGAATCAAGAAATTAAGAAAAAGTAAAAAATTCCTCGAACTCATCACGCTCGAAAGCAAACAACTTAAGTCCAGCTCATAGTCCCCTCAGCAGACAAAGCTAGCTTTCAATGGCAGCCTAGCAAAATCTAAGAATTGAGTAGCACATTGAAGCAGTTGAGAGCATGAACACCGACAATGCCTCGAATATGAATTAGAATAACAACTTCATGTATAATAACAGCAGTGAATAGAATAAATATCAGATAAACAATTCTGACAGGGAAGAAGATGAAGACGAAGATGAGGAAGAGAATGATCAAGTATAGGCAGCTGCTGCCAACTAGATCGAAGATTTCTAGAGTTCAGAGCTGCACAGAAATCACTTGATTTAGACTCTGCAGTCTCTGCAGTACATCAAGACTCTTCCTCCTGTGAATAAAAATGATATTAAAACTAGGACAGTCAAGCTTCCACCTTTCAAAAATACCAACAGTAATATTCATAATTCTTATCTAATCCTTATTTAGTCAAGAAAACAATAATATTTGATCTTGATGAGACTCTTGTGCATTGTATAGATGATATCGAGAATAATCCATGCGACGAGATTATAAATGTAACCTTCCCTAATGGAGATACTGTCTAAGCTGGAATCAACGTGAGACCCTATGCCATTGAATGCCTTAAAAAAGCAAATGAAAACTATTAGGTAGTAGTGTTCACTGCCTCTCACAAGGCCTACGCTGATGTGGTTCTAGATAGTCTAGATCCAACTCACTCCTTGATATAGTACAGACTATACAGAGATCATTGCATCCGTACAGAGGAGGGTATTTATATAAAGGATTTACGCATAATCTCCAACAGACAGCTAAAAGATCTGATTATTGTGGACAATGCTGTGTATTCATTTGGATACCAATTGGATAACGGCATACCAATCATACCTTTTTATGACGACAAGACTGATGAGGAGCTAATGCACCTTATTTTCTACTTTAATTGTCTTGCTTAGTGTAATGATGTCCGAGAATAAAATAGAAAGGCTTTCTAATTGAAAGACCTTTAAGAGATCGACATTGCTGAATACTTATAATCAATGATGAGTACTGGCAATGGCTCAGGCAAGAATAACAATAACGAGGATGAAGATAACGAAGATGAAGATGAACAATGAAATAAATTGGAGAAAATGAAAAATAATATTTTAATCGATTCTTTATATAAAGTTAAATCCTTATCTACAAATTTCAGTTGCAAATCTATCATTTCGGGGTTTTGGGGTTTTGGGGAGATCGGAAGAGCAC